GTATTTAAATATATAAAACCCTCCTACCTTGATATTGTCATCATCATCTTCTGCTGTTTTATTTATTTATTTATTTATATAAAATTTTTTTCTCCAAATCAATAATCATTTCTTCTGTACGATAAGACGATTATGTTGAAACTTTCATCTGTGCCTTCGATATCCACCACCGGCAGGTATTCCTGTTGAACCTAATAACATCGACACATTTGTTTACACCATATTTATTAATATACATATAACCAATTATTATTATTATTAAAAAAAATTAATTAATTCATTTATTTAATTATTATGATGCCGATTTTTTTTTTATCTATCAGGTATTATATAATCTATTGCAATTGATAATAATAATAATAATAATAATTTAAATTTTAAAAAAAATTCATTAATAATAATGATAATAATCGGGGGGGAAAAAAAAAATTAAATAAAAAAAAATAAACGAAAAAATAATTAATTCGTAAAACGCGTGCAAAAAAAATTATTTTTTTAAATAAAATTTATTAATTATTATTATTATTATTATTATCATTGTTGTTATCTTTATTAATAATAATAATAATAATAATGATTTTTCACGGGAGTGTTTTTTGTATTTGTCGTAATTTTCTCATCGGGCGCAACATAATAGGTTGTTTATTTATATATAAAGACACGTTTTTCCAACATCATTCAAAAAACATTCAAAACAGAACAAACACAACAACAACGCACAACACACATCACGCACACGCACACACGCACACACACACACATAATATACAAAACTCTTTTATATATAAATAAATAAATAAATATACACACAATCACATTCACATTCACTTCAAACAATTTCCCATACTAACTTTTTTTTTCTTTACATATATATGTATCACGTAAAAAAACATGTATTAATAATAATGATAATGAAACATCACTACCGCACAAGACATGTATATAACTCACTTGAATTTCATCATTATCATTATCATTATCATCAACACAACAATTATTTATCAACAATTTTTTTTTTTTTAAATAATAATACCGAACATAAACGGAATTATAAAAATATCACAAAATTCATGATACGTTTATAATTCGGGGGGGGGGGGGGAGAGAGAGAGAGAGAAAGAGAGAGAGAAACCAGGTGTGGGAAGAGGGGGGGGTCCAATTTCTTTTCGGGTGGGAAAAATTGGAATCGGATTTAAAGCTAGGAATGCTTTTGAGCTTTCTAGCTTTTTGGCATTCCATTTTTTTTTTCGTTTTAATTATTAATTAATAATTATTATTAATTAATTAATTAATTAATAATTTCTCATTTAAAAACAACACGATTTTGAAAATTCAAATCATGATTGTTGTCATTATCATCATCATCATTTTTTTCCTTAAATTATAAAATAAAAAATTATGTACATAAATTATTAATTTTCAAATAAATAAAATTTGCAATAATAATAATAATTATTATTATTTAAATGCCAAAAACCTAGAATTATAATAAGTGAAAAAAAGGCAAAAAAAAAAGAGAAAAAAAATAAAGAAAAAAATAAAAAAGAAAAAGACGTCGTTGTTACTAAATAAAAAAAAAAAAATTTTTTTTCGATTTTTTTTTTTTTTATATATTTCATTTTTTTTTTTTTTTTATTATTTATTTGAATTTTTTTTTTTTTTAAATTTCATATTAAATAATAATAATAATAATAATCATAATAATAATAATAAATTCTTAATAACTATTTCGTACATAATTTTTTTTTCTGTTTTCCAAACTTTTTTTCAAAAGAAAAAATTATTACCAAAAAAAAAATCTAAAACTTTTTTTTTAATAATAATAATAATAATAATAATTGTAGTAGTAGTCGTAGTAGTGATAATAATAATAATAATAATAAAATTAATAGAAAGAAGAAAATTTTCTTTTCTCATATTAAAAATCATCATCATCATCCCCCTTTTCACACAAGTAGGATGCACAACTTTTGTAAGAAAAAAAAAAATTGGTGGGAGGGGGAGGGGGTGGAATAAAGGGGGTAAAAGGCTGGGGAAGAAATAATAATGATAATAAGATACTCTTGTGCACAATTCGACTCAATCATTATTCACACTTCGAATGGGAAAAGAGAGAGAGAGAGACACCATTCGCTTCTTTGTAAACAAAAAAAAAAATTCTTGCTTTCTATCTTCGTCTAATGCTTATGGCAATTACCACAAAACACAAGAAAATAATAATAATAATAATTAAAGTTAAAAAAAAAAAAACGAGTTATTAAATAATAATAATAATAATAATAATAATAATAATAATAATTTACAATCACACGTCATTAAAAAATCCTCGTGATTATAACATCCGTCATTTTAGTCTTAATTTCCATCCCTTATTCCCCCCTTTCCCCTCCCCTTTTTTTACATCTTGCGATTAAAACTACTCCTACTACTCTTTTTTTATAATAAAACAGAATAATAATAATAATAATAATAATAATAATAATAATAATAATAATAATAATAATGCAGAAATTTGTGAAAAAAAAAAAAAAAAAAAAAAATTTTCTTTTTCTTATTCAAAATTTAAGTACTCCAACAAATTTGTTTTATAAGTAAAAAAAAAAAAAAACTTCGCACACCTATTATTATTATTATTATGTAATAAGATAATAATAATTACATTTTTTTTTCTTCCTTTCTTCCTTTTTATTTTAAGCAAACTTTTATTCTTTTGTATTTCCTGTCATCTTAATTTTAATTTTTTTTTTTTACTAAATAATGAATTATACATAACATTCATGCAAAACAATCAAAATCAATCAATCAATCAATCAATCAAATCAAATCAATCAATCAAACAAACGAACAAACAAACAAACAATCTAGTAAACTTCACTATTGAAGTTGTAACATTCACGAATAATAATAATAATTAATAATAATAATATTTCTTTTTGTTTTTTCCTTTTACAAATTGTAACTACATCTAGTTTTTTTTTTTTTTATTATTTTGGACAAAACAGGTCTTTTACCTTTACTCAGGTGTCTTTTACCTTTGACCCGTAAACTAAATTTTCTGCAACCCCCCCCCCCAATCGCTAACTAAAACCGGTGGGTTAAATTATTTTGTGTGTAAACAACTTTACTTAATAAAATTATTTTTTTTAAAAAAAAAAAAAAAAAACTTTGTGCAGGATTTGTAACTGCCAAACTCTTTCATACACGGGAGGGAAATGAAAGGAGGAAAGGGGAGAGGGAGAGGGGGAGGCAGAGAGAGAGAGAGAGAGAGAGAGAGGGAGAGAAAGAGAGATAGAAAAAAAAAGAGGTTTGAAGATTTCTTTTGACTTGAAGAAATTAATATTAAAAAAAAAAAAAAAAAATCATTTAAACTAATTAATTCAATTACACAACACCCAAAAAATTCATTAACATTACAATTAATATATATTAATATATATTAATATAAATATATTAATATATTATGAAGACTAAAAGCACACACCATATAAACAAAATTCAATTTTTTTTTTTTTTTTTTTGCCATTTTTCTTTTTTCTATTTTTTTTTATTTTTCTTTTTTTTTTTTTAAATTTATCATTATTATTATTATTATTATTATTATTATTATTAATTATTATTATTATTACTTGTTAGAAATCTCAATAAATTTTATATTCAAGTAAATTACCACAATATTTCCTTTCTCAATTAAACTTTTTAAATAAATCAATTTTATATAAAAAAAAAAAAAAAAAAATTTACGGAGTGTTTTTTTTTTTTTTTTTAATAAAAAAAAAAAAAAAAAAAGAGAAAAAAAATTTGAATTTAGATCGTGATAATAATAATAATAATAATAATTTGTTTTGTTGCTTTAATGGTAGATTTTTTTTCCCTTACCCTGTTTGTTTGAGCCAATGTAGGCAACAACGCAATCAACTGAATGTTTTTTTTTTTTCTTATTTTTCTTTTAAAAAAAAAATCACGCACGTACACACGCACACACACGCGCACGCACACGTACACGTACACACGTACACGCACATAAAAAATACACGCGGGCACATACACGCACACACGCACAAGCACACCATTCAAAACTCATATGCGTGTATAAACATTTTTCACATATTTTTTTCCAGCCCACTCATCATCATCATCATCACACGTGTTTTTCATACATGTAAAACAATCAAACAACGTAAAGTAAAGGAGTAAACGTGTGTGTGTGTAATCTACTCCTAATTTCATGCATACCTATATATATATATTAATAATAATTTAAAAAAAAAAAAAGGTACGACTCGACTCGGTTATTTTTCGTACGCGAAATTCAAATAATAATAATAATAATTTAAAATGTAACGACGACGACCGAAACTGAAATATAATAAAAATGTCCGACTATTATTATTATTAATCGCAAATGACGTCATTAAAAAAAAAAAATTTTAAAAGAGTAAGAGAAAAAAAATCCGAACAATATATAGTAGTTGTAGTTGTAGTATCAGGGAAATTTTTTTTACAGAAAATTCTTAAATTTCCCAAATACTTTTGACGAAAAATCATTAATAATAATAATAATAACAACAACAAACGATACATAATAAATTATTAAAAAATTTTCAAATTAAAAAAAAAAAAGAGAGAGAGAAAAAAAAAAAAAACAAAACACGCTCTTACATGATGCTCTTATTTTTTTTTTTTTTTTTTTCCCCTTTTTAAAATTTAAAAACTGACGAGAGAGAGAGAGAGAGACAGAGAGAAAGAGAGAGAGAGAGAGAAAAAAAACATTTTGTCAATTGAATAAAAAAAAAAAAAAAAAAAGGTGACGTGAAACTGTTTTTCCTGTTTGTTTTTCCATTTAAACATTTTTTTTTTCCTGTTACTACTGAATAAAATTTTTTGTTAGCATTTACACTACGGCAAATAATCAAAATTATTAAAAGGCCCTCTAGTAGTTTGAAATTTTTTTTTTTTGTCTCTGCATCCGTTATCATTTCTTTTTTTGTTTTTTAATCGTATCAGAAAAATGATTTATCTTTTTGCCTAGACCAAGAAACCTGGTTTTGATTTTGAGAATTTCCGCCACCACCGTCATTTCCGGTTCCCGCTCCTTGATTCATCCAAGATAGGAACCCACCAGGAGCGTTGGGTGGCGGTCCGGAACCTCCTCCGCCTCCTCCTTGATTCGGAGGATAAGAGAGATTTGACGGACCAGAGAAATTATCATTCTGAGGTCCCTGTTGGTTTTGCATTAAACCCACGCCCCAACCAGCTTGGTTAAGAGCCGCGGCAACCAAAGCGTTATTCACGTGAACCCCTGCAAGATTAAGGGCGTTAATGACGCCTAAATTTTGTTGGGGCCGATTGTTTTGATTTGTTATGCCCAGAGTTTGTAAATTAGGCATGTCTAAATTTCTCGGACCGGGATTTGACATGTTTCCCCCCTGAGCCCACGCCGGGTTCGGTGAATTATGATAATTCAAACTCGTTAAATTCCCGTGGTTGGCACCACCGTGAGGGCCGGACATGTTTTTATCACGCATATTACCTGACATGTTTTTTTGGGAACCGAATCCTCCGCGATGATCGTTCGCACTCTTTGGGGCCGCATTTGATACGTGAACGCTCGTTCCTTTTATTATATGATCTTCTCCGCATAAGGACTGGGCAACTTCCGGGTCTAGAAAGGTTACAAATGCAAAGGCTCGAAACGGCTTTGGGATAAAAACATCTGTGACTTCGCCAAACTTTGAGAAGTACTCACGGAGATCTTCTGCAGTTATATCTTCAGTACAGCGACCAACAAATACTTTACAGGGAACCTGTTGAACCATTCCTTCCTGTAAATAATAATAATAATAATAATAATGTACTAAATAAAAAAAAAAATTTTATTATTACAATTATATGAATGCAACGCCCAAAATAATTACTTTATTATTTATTAATTACTAAAAAATCTGATTTCGAACCTGAAATGTAGTAAATTATACCTTTACATCAGAAAATACATAGAATACTAAATTTTTTTCTTTAGCCTGTGCTTTATAAAAAATATTTTAATTATAATTAAATTATTATGTACACAAACCTGAAAAGTTTAATATGGGAATAAATTTATTTCTTTGTCGGTATGAGTAGCGATTGTTAAAAATTTTTCATATTTACGATTTTTATTAATACTCTTAATGAAAAAATGGATGCTAAAAATTATGATATTTTTTTGAGAAATGCCTTTAATAAATTTAATAAAAAAAGTTTTATAATATTAAGTTTTTTTTGAAATTGAACTATTACCTTAGAATTAGGAACTTTAACATCACACCACCGAGAATCAATCATGTGTCTTTGAGTTAATACCCTTGCTTGAGCTTCATAACTGCCAAACCTAACAAATCCAAATCCTTTAGATTGACCACTTTTAGGATCTTTTTTAACCTGAACAATGCGAAAACAAAAAATTTAAAAATAAAAGTTTAATCAAGTTGTATTAAAAATAGAAAAAAAAACCAAAATTAAGATAGAAACCTGAGCCATTAAAACTTCACCGTAAGTTTCAAAATATTCTCTTAATTGTTGTTCTGTAGTTTTCCATGGTAGACCTAAAACAATTAAGTCTGAACATTTCAATTTGGTTTCCATTCTTTTTGTTTTTGCCGTTGAATTTTCTAATAAATCATCAGATTTTCTCTTGTTTTCTATAATGAAAAAATAAAAAAAAATTTCATTTCAAAACATTTCTGTGAAGAAGCAATTAAAAAAACCCCATAAAACGTTATAATAGTTAAAAACTCATTGAAAAATTTTTTAACTAAAAAAAAATCGGGGCATCCTTAATTTGTTAAATAATAACAGAATATAAATTCAAGATATATTAATATGAATATACCTTTTGGGAAAACGCAATAGTAAACTACACTACCCCAACCGTTATCTGGGGGATGAAGCCTTCCTTCGACTAATCTAACACCTCTTAGCCCCATTGATTCGGGATTTCTGTATTTTAAGCCACAAGTACCCGGGAACTGTGCGGCTAACGTTGATAATAAAAGTGTTCCATCGTCTTCCGTAGGAAGCTCAATGGGTTCTTCTCCCTCAACTTCCGATACTTGAATATAAGAACTCATTTTCAACTACTTTTACACAATCAACAACATTTACATCAATACATTCAGGCTGGAAAACTCATAACAATACTATCCAACACACTCACACAAAATGGCTGACACAAATCCACAAAAAATAAAGCCACAGCCTTCTAAAGTTATAGTTTTCAAAAAAAACTAAAATTATTCATATATCTTATTATAATTGAGAGGTAAATTTAAAAAAATTAAAATTAATAAAAAAAAACAAATTCTTTTATTTTTTTAATATTTATTACTTTAAAAAAAAAAATTTTAAATACTTATTATTTAATAAATTACCCAAACTTTCTCATTTTAATATTTATGTTCAGACTTTTAATAAATAATAATAACTTTTCAAATACTTTCTTGTAATATTATATATAGAACACTATATGAAAACACTAAAAATTATTTTTAATAAACCTCTTATTTTTCAAATAAATAAATCACAATTGCAATAAATAAATAAATAAATAAAAATAAATTTAAAAACATTTAATTATAATTTATTAAAGATTTATTTAATGATTGATTTTAAACACCAATAAAAATTTCTGACTTTCATATCAAATGTTTTCTTCCCCCCTTTTCAAATTTTTCAAAATTTTATTTATTTTGATGAATAACTATTAACATTTATTAAAATTTATTTATTTATTTATATTCAATTTATATTTCCTACATTTTCAATTAACTTTTATAAAAAAATCAAAAATCGTTTTTTAAAATTAATTCACACATCAAATTCTCTTATTCCAATAAAAGTAATGGATTTTATAAAAAAAAAAATAAATAAATAAAACAAATTTTATTAAAAATAATTTATTTGTACTTATAATATATGACATTATTTAAATTTAAAACAAAACATAAGATAATAAAATATAATATATATAATTCTCTATTTAAAATAATAAAATAAATAAATATATATATATATAAATTTTTATGTTTTAAAAATTTCATATTTCCTGTAAACCATAATAACATAATGTCGATTATTATTATTATTTATTTTAATAAATTTTTAATTCGTTTTATATATTAAAATGTCGAATTTTAATTTTTTTTACTGTGTCTGACATTTTTCAATGCCAAATCTGCAAATCTAGGAAGTGTGAATGCAGAACGATGAACATCCGTCGTGTAATATTTCAATTCCATTTTATTTAAATCATTTTCCGTTAATTTATGTAAGGGTTCTTTAAAATTTGTTTCCTAAAATAAATTTCAAATAATTAAACATAAGAAATTTTTTTTTTTTTTTTTTTGTTAAAAAAGTTCAATTTTTAACTCGACTACTCACTAAATTTAAACTTCCCAATGCAAAACCGATTTGTCCATCTGGATATGTCGGCACGTGACAAATTCCATAATCAACAACAGGAAATGTTTTACCCACGTGTTGTAGTGTACTTTTTACAATATCTAAATTCGACCAAACTGTACCACCTTGTGAACACATTATTCCATTCGGTTTAAGTGCACTTTTTATAAGAGAAAAATAAGTTTCTTCAAATAAAGATACGGCAGGGCCTAAAACAAAAAAAATTGAAACAATGAATCCTTGCACAAAAACAACAATAATGATAACATAAATAATTCTTTTTAACTTTAACGATAACAATGATAAATTAAGTTAAAGTTAAATCTCCATCTTCTTCTTTAAAATTATTATTATTATTATTATTATTAATAATTGAAATAAATTAACACACACTGACCGACCGGATCAGATGAATCAGTTATAATAACATCAAATTCATTTTTATGCTTTTTCATAAATTCAAAACCATCATCGATGTGAAGTTTTAATTTTTCATTATCGAAACCTTTTGCCATAAATGGTAAATACCTGAAACAGAAAATTTTTTACAAATTTATTAAGAAGGTACACACACACACACACACATATATATACACACATGTAAACCATTTTTATAGTGTTTTTTTTTTAAGTTTTCCTCACACAAAGCGTTAAACAAAAAATATCGAATAAAATAAGATAAATCAAAATTCTACTACTCTTAATTATAAAAATCAATTTAATTAACTTACACCATTGAGATTCCCATTCAAATTTGATTCAGTTTCTGGAAAAGAACTTTTAATGTTAAACTTTTTTTTTTTTAATAAAAAAAATTTTTTAAAACTAATTTTAAATATGAAGTAAATGATGTTTAAAGAATTAACTGACATAATCGATAATACTTTTTTAATATTCGAATGTAAAAGTGTTTGGAAGTTATATTTACATAAAATGTATGACATGACTTTCGTTCAAGATCATGTTTGTACAACATGTCTAAGTGTAAAACAAATTAAATTAAAATTTTATCGATTTTATTGATTTTATTGATCTTATCTGTACAATTATGTATACTAAAAATCCATATAAGGTTAATAATAATAATCAAATCGAATTGCATAATAATCTAAGGTAGAAAAATAAGAAGGAGCTCTCGACTTGAAATTAATCGATTGCACTCGATATGTAAATGAATATAATTTCTTAGAAAAATTTTAGGTTTAGATAAGATAATTTAGAGGACAATGAGAGGATAAAAAAATTGTTTTAAAGAATTTTTAAGTAGATAAGAGTATTTTAATCATTGCTACTGTTTTTTTTTTAAACATAACATAATAAATACATGAATATGAAGAGAATAAAAAAAAAAAAAGGTGACTTACTTTTTTGATACTTCGACAACTTTGCCATCGATTTCAACTTGTGTTATATTTTCAACTAATTTGTGTTTGGCAACTTCTCTTGCTACTCCTCCATCACCTCCTCCGACAATTAAAACACTTTTTGGACATGGATGAGAGTTGAGTGGTAAAAATGAAATCATTTCTTGATAAGAAAATTCATCATTTTCAGTACACTGAATGATTCCATCAAGAACTAATGTTTTACCTTTACTTTTCCTTAATTAAAAAAAAAATTATTTCATTCATCATTTTATAAATGAACAATGATTTGAAATAAAAAATGACAAAATTTTTTTTTATCAAATAATAATATAAACTTTAATTTGTCAATTCGACAAATCTTAAAAAAAAAAAAAAAAATAAACTTAGGGAAGCATTTTTTGTTACAGTTATCTTATTTTTTTTAATAGATAACTTCCCATTAGAAAAATAAGTAATATTTAAAAAGAGAAGGAAAAAAAATACCGTTAATCACTTTGATTAACCAGTGGGGAATTTAAAATACTTTTAAAAAAAATTTAAATTTTTCGACTTACGTGTCCAAAACTAAAACATGTTGAAATTTAGATTTTTCTTGATGTAATATTTTATTTACTTCCAACGATAAACTGACTCCCGGCCAAAGATCGTTTTTTTCCGAAAACCAACCACTCGACATTAAATTCATAATTATATTCTTATATTAAATGAAAATTTTAAAATAATGGGAAAAAAAATGATTTTTACAAATTACACGAAAGGAAACTGAATTATTCTCTTGTAAATATTTTTATTTATTACTCTGTAGTACAACTCCAGCGGTTAAAGAAAGTCCCGCTTTTAACTAACAGATTGAACAACTCACTTTTTCAAACTTATAAATCCGATAGTTCTAACGTTTTTAATAGTTGAATCGTGAGAGCGCTGCAGTCGAACAAACAATTTGACAACCCTGTATCCTAATTGTTAAAAGTTACAAATGGCTGCCACGGAATAATTTACCATACAACACATAACAGTTTAAAAAAAAATAATAAGGGAAATAATTTTAATTAATAATTATGGAAGAAACTAAAATAATATATCATATTGATGAGGAAGAAACTCCGTATTTAGTTAAATTATCAATAGCACCGGATAAAGTTACATTAAGTGATTTTAAAAATGTTTTGAATAGACCTAATTATAAGTTTTTCTTTAAATCCATGGACGATGACTTTGGGTTTGTATTGTTTGCTACACTCATAAGAAAAGTATAAAAATTAATGTTTACTTATAAATTAAAATTTGGCATTTTTATGTCGGCCATTTTGATTCATTGTCCCACGAATTCAATTTTAATTTTTTTTTTTATTTACTAATAGTAATATATTTTTAATTACCCTCCATATTGATAACTTTTGAAAAACTTAAATTATTTTATTTCCACGCTAGTTTTGAATTTTCTTTTTTTTTTTTTTTTTTTTTGACGTTAAGACTAACCGTCGATTGGGAGTATCCAAATATATTATTCGTTTAAAAACCTTTAATGTTTTTATTATTATTATTATTTTTTAATAAAATGTATTAATAAATAAATTTTTATTACAATTTCCTTATTTTCTTATTTTAAACCCCCTCAAAAATGGTTTAATAAAATTGATAAATGTTAAATTTTATTTTATATTATTGTTTTGTCATCTTTAAAATAGGCCCTTTAAATTCTTTGAGTTTGTTATTTTTGTTTTTGATTCTTATAAACAAAATATATTTGAAAATAATAATGCATATATATTAATCATAATTATTAAGTATTTTTGAAATCAAATTTATAAAAAAGTTTTCTATAATTTTTTTTTTTTAGGGTGGTAAAAGAAGAAATTGTCGATGAAAATGCTCATCTTCCTTGTTTTAATGGAAGAGTTGTTAGTTGGGTAAGTGTTACTTATTTTAATATTATTATTATTATTATTATCTTTAGGAATTAGACTTTAATAATAATGCTATCATATCAAATCGTACAAAATGTCTATATGATTAATGCCCATTTGCAGTTGGTTTCTGCTGAGGGTAGTAATATCTCAGATGGAGGAACATCACAGTGTACAGATACAGGAGATTTAAACAAACAAAATAGTAGGGATAATGGACTGATAACTGAGACTGAAAGTATTATAAGCTCAAGGCATGATGGTCCCCAACATAAACATAATGACAAATACAATAAATATAATTGTAAGTCATAATTACATAATTTAATTAGAAATAATTTTTTTTTTTTTTTTTTTAAACAATTAACGATAATTTTTATAATAAGGTTTAAGGATTAATGGTCATTCGAAGCACAGGAGTGATAGAGGGCATGGTTATGAAACGGCATCTGTTATTAGTTCTGAATTAGAAACGACTTCGTTTTTAGAAAGCGATGATGATTGTTCTAGTAGAATAACAACGACTACTGGTAGAGCAACAAATTTAACAGGGACAATAGGTAATCGAAAACCCCATCAGCATTTAAAAATTTTTTGAATGGTTTAAAACTAATAAAATTAAATTATTTAAAATTTGTTTTGTTGTCGTAGATACGACGGGATCACGGTTGCACTTGAGCCAACGAAGAAGAACGCAGAGACGAAAGAGGCAAACCAAACATCATATTCCATCAATGTCGCGAACCTCTAGTTTTTCTTCCATAACGGATTCAACAATGTCCCTTAATATAATGACAGTTACGCTCAATATGGACACAGTCAATTTCTTAGGAATATCCATTGTCGGCCAAAGTAATAAGGGTGGTGACGGAGGAATTTACGTCGGTAGCATAATGAAAGGGTAATTAAATAATCATCCCTCGGATTAAATATCCCATATATATGTATACGTCATTAACGTAAATGCAATTTATTCACAGGGGTGCGGTAGCATTAGACGGTAGGATAGAACCAGGAGACATGATACTACAAGTGAATGATATTAATTTTGAAAATATGACCAACGATGAAGCAGTGAGAGTTTTAAGAGAAGTCGTTCAGAAGCCAGGGTCCGTTTTTAATTTTTTTTTTTTACTTTTGACCTTGATTGGTTCGCAATGACGTTTGCCGAATAACCGAATATCATGATGTTACAGACCGATCAAATTAGTCGTAGCAAAATGTTGGGATCCAAATCCAAAAGGTTACTTTACGATACCTAGAACGGAACCTGTACGACCGATTGATCCGGGGGCTTGGGTAGCGCACACAGCAGCTACATTATCTAGCGGTCGACCAAATTATCCGAGGCCTCCAAGTGTTTCAACTGTCACATCGAATAGTTCGAGCCTTGCCAGTTCTTTACCCGAAACCGAACGTTAGTTTTTTTTTTTTTACATACTTTTCCCTTTTTAAATAATTATCAATAAAGTTTATTGAATGTGTTGATTTAAAATAACATTTTAGGAGGTCCCGACGATGTACATTTGACAATAAATTCGGATATGAGTGTCATAGTTAAAACAATGGCTCGAGTCGATTCTGGTCTAGAAGTTAGAGATCGTATGTGGCTTAAAATAACAATTCCGAATGCATTTATTGGTAAAAATTTTTTTATAATTAAAACTAATTAATTATTGCACGGTTGGGATAAATTTAAACAAGGGATGAATTTTAGGAGCTGACGTAGTAGATGGTTATTACACACGTCGAGATCACGACGACGAGAAGCTCGTAAATATGCAGCTAATTTACTAAAGCGGGTACATAAGGCACACGGTCAATAAGATAACGTTTTCGGAACAGTGCTATTACGTTTTCGGTGATCTTTTATCTCATGGTGAGTATACCTTTTTTTTTAAATAATTCTCAAAGTCATGGCGAATAGATGAATCAATTTTTATCTGCTCAATTTCAGCCATGTCCAACATGCAAATCAGAGACGATTGCGCTAGTCTAGGGCGAGACACCGTAGGTCCACTACCTCCCCCGGCTAGATATTTATTACCGAGTTCCGACATGCCTGGTCACATGCCCTACGCCGGCACGTACATGGGCGCCGGATACACCCCTATGCCTTTTAATTACACCAACGATCCAAGCATTTACAGAGAAGAAAGTCTTTCAGGTATTTACTCGGCATACTTCACCGAAAGGAATTTTATGGATTTTGTTTTATTATAAAATTCAAATTCGTTTTTTTTTTTTTTTTGTGGTAAATTACAGGTAGTTCAGGATCCGATAGGTTATCAAAAGATATTCCTCAATCGGGAGTGGTGGGAATAGATTTAATGAAATCCGGAGGTTCAACGGCGAGCGAAAGTGATTTGTGTCCTCCACCGGCTGCTCCCATGAGTAAGAAACTACTTTGTTAAAGAAAATTTTTTTTTTTTTTCTCTCTCAAAACATCGAAAAAACGTTTTTAAAAATTTAAATTTTTCAGTGATTCCTCCGGCCGCGACGTCGAGAGCTTCTAAATCTTCGGGTTCGGAACAGGGGAGTCGTTTGACGAATCACAAAGAGTATACAACAACAAAACACGCGGATGACGTTAGCGCAAGTAGGCAATCATTTAATGCAGCCATGGAAAATCCTTGCGAATTTTTTGTCGATGTCATGTAGCTTTTTTGTTTGTAGTAGTGGTAACAATGACAATAATAATAATAATAATAACACTATTATTATTATCCCTGTTTTGTTGTCATTGTTATGCGGGAAAGTGCGTAAAATGTTTTCGTCCAAGTCGAAAAGCAAGAAAGTTTTTTTTTTTTTTTTTTTTTTTCTCCCTCCCGTTGTAATGTGTCATTACAATCATCATTATTATTATTATTATTTTTTTTTTTATTGTGATATGAAAAAGTCGAAAAGTGCCAAAAAAAAAATGAGGGAAAATTTTGTAAATACGTTCCGTGTAACAATTCGTGCCGTTTAAAAGATAGTGAAGGAAGGTTAATCGGGGGCGGGGGGCGGGGGGCGATGAGGATGGGATGGGGATGGGGAGGGGAAATATATAAACTAATGTGCCATTTTATATAATTCACGTGTGCATAACATAAGTTACAATCGCAGAATCTAAATAGTTATATGTATTCGTATAAATAGTAAATATTAATAATACTTAATCATTGTTTAAATTTCTATTAAAGTTTAATGTATAAAGTTAAATTTTGTAATATTTATAAAAATATTAATAATAATAATAATAATAATAGTAAAATAATTAATAATAATAATAATAATAATAATAACAATAATCATAATAATAAATTAATAATTTTATTATCTCGTTATTATCTCGTTTTATTAAAATCGTTTTCTTTTTTTTTTAATAAAATAATATTTATTATTATTATTATTATTAATTGCTTTAGTACAGCTCATAAGTATTTATTTTAATAAAAATAAAACTCAGTTAAAAATCACAGAAAAAATAATAATTTTTTTTTCATTTCGTTGTTATTGTTATTATTATTATTATTTGAAAACGTGGGATGACGATGACGATGATGATGATGATGATGATGATGATTATATTTTTGTAACGATGATAATTGGTTATGATAATTTATAATCGCGCGTAGACAATTTTATATATATATATATTTTTTGGATGTATTATATTTATGTTGCAAATAGAATTTATGTATGTATTTATATATATATATATATATATATATGTATTTTTTTTTTTTTTTTTGTAAAACCATATATAGTTATTACACGAAATTTTTTATTTTTATTTCGCATTATTTTATTTTTTTTGCATGATTTTTATTTATTTAGTTTTTAAAATCGTTTAAATAATTAAAATAATTATTTAAACGGTGATGCACTTTAAAAAAATGAGAGAGAGAGAGAGAGGTAAGTTATTGTTGTATTTTTTTCTTATTATTATTATTTTAAATTTTTAAAATGAAATATTTAAATTTTATCATTATTATTATTAATATTATTTTTGTTATAGAAAATTCAACGAAAATGAATGGAAAAGTTATTGGAAAACAACAACAAAATAATCAAATAATAACAAATAACGATAATTGTAAGTAATTAATTAAAATTGATTTTTGTTGTTGTTGTTGTGAATTATTTAATTATTATTATTATTATTATTAATTTTAGATGAAGATGATCTTATGGAATATCATTTTGGACAAAAATAGCTAAGTCACGAAATAATAACGAAGCTTTAATTATGTAAAATTAATTACATAATGTGAGGAAAAACGTTAAAAACAATTTATTTATTTTATTTTAGTGAAAAAAAAAAAAAAAAAGAAATTTAGTGATTTTCTAAATACGAAAAATGGGCTGTTTGATTAATATTAATGATAATAGTAATGATAATAATAATTTGAAATTATATACATGAAAATGAAAATGAATAATAATAATAATAGTGATAATAAATAAATAAAAATTATTTATATATGTATAAAATAAAAAATTTGTAAAACAATAATAATAATAATAATAATTTTTTATATAATTTTTATACATAAATGTACTTACTTATTTATTTACTATCATAAATTCAATATCCATAATCCATAATCATTTATTTATTCATTTTCGATCCATATTTTTCCTTCCGAATCCATTTATCAAAATCGACGCCATTTTTTTTTTCACTCGGGTCACTCGATATAAAAATTTTAACGGTTTTTTTTTTTGAAAATTACATTTTATCGGCATAAAAACAGATTATAATTAAAAAAAAACTGATAAAATTATTTAAATACTAATAATAATTATTATTATTAATAAATTATTAATTTTTTATCACCGGCATTAATTAAAAAGAGTAAAAATAAGAAGAAAAAATCCGTTACGTAAATAATATTTAAATAAAAATACTTTAACGAATTCGAATCGTTCTTTAAATCTTTAAGTATTTTTTTAAACGTTTATCTTTTTTTTTTTTTTTTTTTTTTTTTTTTTTTTTTTAAAAAAAAAAAAGGAAAACG